CTGTCTATATATATGCAATGATAACAGCAAAATTGCGATATGAGCACTGGTAAAAATGGTTGCTGAGGATATTAGGTTTATAATACCCGGAAATTCATACCCAGATGTTCTCAAGGACACAGTGGATAAAAGCGTTGGTTAGATCCAGTGACAGGACCCAAAGAGTGTGAGTTCAATACCCGGTTAAGTCAGTGGAGAACTTTCGGAGGGAAATTAACAGGAGATAACTGACATCCATCAAACATGGCACGTGGAACTAGAAGTCTACCCCGGTGAGCGAAATAAAGGGTTCAGTTCGACATTCCAACCTGAAGAAGGCCGTGATAAATATGGCGACAAAGATGAGGACAATAGTCCGAATAATGTAAATAAGAAAAATGAGGACAATAGTCCGAATAATGTAAATAAGAAAAATGAGGACAATAGTCCGAATAATGAAAAAAAATGTAAAGGAAAATTTAACTAAAAACAAAGGAAATAGTCGCGAACTGTTATGGCAGGGAATGTTGGATAATCTCTCCGCAGAAGAGACTTGAGTCAGTAGAAAGGTGATTCTACAGCAGGATGCTGAGAATAACATGTCTTGAACACGTGAGCCACGAAGATTTTTTTAACGAAAATGAAAACAAAAAGCTTACGTATATTTATCATTTAAGAGAGACAATTTGGATTTCCAGGACAGATTTTGAAGAGGGCTTAGAAAATTTGGCACTCACAGAACATATTTAAGGCAAGAGGCATAGAGGAAATCCGCTAACGATCTTATGTAAATGGTTGGCAGAACAGAGATTACCAAATATAGCAAAAATACAAGCATTATTAAGAGCTACAAAGGACAGGAAATTATGGAGAGCCATGATCGCCAACGTAATGAAGACACACGGTACATAAAAGGAGAGGAAGATGATAGTATTATGAAGTTAAACTAAGTACAGTGGAACCTCGGTTAACGAATTTAATCGTTTCAAAAACAGTTCGTAATCCGAAATGTTCGTAAACCGAAACTATTTTTTCTAATAGAAATCAATATAAAATGGAATAATCCGTTTCTGGTCTCAAGATGATTGCTTATTTAAACTTTAACAACGGTATTTTGTGCACAAATTTATACATAAAACTAATAAAAAATCATTAAATCTAAGAAAAAAAACAAAAAACTAAATAGATAAAATATAGACAAACACTTCCATTTTAGCGTACCTTTAAGCAGGAGAGTTGATTGCGTAAGTGGACAGGGAAGAAAAGAGATGTTATTGTTTAGAAAAGGAAACGAAATACATGATCGTCTCTTTATTTATCAGAATAGTATAGATCGTTGATTTTACCATATGAAACTGGGTAGGAAGAGACAATATCATCAACAATTTTTTATCTCTCAATTTTTCTTTTTCCTTTACCAATATCACTGCTAGCTTTCTTGGAGCCATGACTTAAGGACTAATGAAGAGAAAAAGTCACAGTAGAATAAAATTGGAAAAGAAAAGCACAACACAACATACGAATGAATACAACACGGCGATCGACTGAGAAATTCCGTTCTGGTTAAATCGGTTCGGCTCGTTTCCCCTTGTTTCGGCTGGTTTCGGCTCGGATCGGCTCGTTTCGTCTAGGATCGGCTCGGTTCGACAATATTATTCGAGTTAAAGAATTTTTTTTTTGATAACCGAGGCATTTTCATCCCGAATTTTCTGTTCGAAAACCTATTTGTTTGATATGCGAGACGTTCGAGAACCGAGGTTGGTCTGTACTTATAGTTTTAACCCGCCTTCAAAAAACATCAAATTTGCATATATGACTCCTTATCGACATTTAAGTACGGGGAATTGCGGAGAGCCATGATCGGGACACGGTACATAGATGAATATATATTTACATTTAATATTAAAATATTAATATTAAAGTATTATGGAGGTTGGATAGGGTCTAATACTGGTAGTGCACAAAAATAAGATTTCATTTACGAATAGCAAAATAGTTTTGGCCAATCAAAAGCAGTAACCGGAAATGACATTTTTAAGTCGTATATCAAATGAATTTTACGCCAGTTTCAACGGCAAATTTTAAACAGCAAGTGCGCCGACATAAACTGATCAGGTGAATTTCAAACGAAGGTTTTACAACCAATAAAGACACTCAGAAACATTCCCGCCTTGCTCAACCTTCTTTATTGATTCTCTTTGATGTAGCATAAAGACACACCCTAGCGAATAACACACACAAGGCGAATTCAAGTCTTCACACTCCGAATGATCACACCTTACTCCCCCGGCCATACAGCCTTCTCGATAGATCAAAAACAGCGACACACTAGACCTAAAACAACTATGAACACACAAAAACAAATGAGACGTATTTAACTCTCATATTTTATCTCCCATGATGCAACAGTGAGTTTACACTCTTTTAATATTAGTCTTTTGAAACAACAAAGACATTGGACGTATTTAAAACCACAAGAACATACAACGAATTAAGTGAAACATTATATTATTATATTTTCTATGTCGTTACGAGATGTTTTCAGCCAAATTCAATTTCATCCCACACTTGTTATACATGCACACAAAAATAAATTTTATGATACAAGCCCAGATATATCATTAATTTATATTGTATATACGAGGTTGATTCCAGGGGTTTTGAGACTTTTTTTTTTAGGAAAGGTAGTTTTAACTGGGCAGAATACTGCGAGAGAGGAGGATTTCTTTGGTAACAAAGAAAAGAATACTGAACTGTTACGTGACATTTCCTCAAAGATGAAGAAGAGACTCGAGGCGACGGACATGTGGTTCTACAGAAGGATGCTAAGGATATCATGGACCGAGCGTGTGAGCAGCGATGGGATCTTAGGGAGGTTGCAAACAAGAAGAAGGCTTATACTTAACATCAGAAAGGGGCAGCTGAAATTTCTGGGACACTTAATGAGGAAGGAAGGCCTGGAGAATCTGATACTCACGGAACGAATAGAGGGAAAGATATAGAGGGAAAACAACGCGTGACATACCTGGCGGATGGATGACAGAATGTGGTCTGGGGGAGGAAGCAGAGGGAAGGAACTTGTTGAGAGCTACAAGGGATACAGGGAGGTGGAGAGCCATGATCGCCTACGCCCTGAAAGAACATGGAACATAAAAAGAAAAGGGGCAGAGTACTGCGAGACAGGAGGATATCTTTAGTAACAAAGAAAAGAATACTGAACTCTTACGTGACATCTGTCCTTCTTTATGGCAGCGAATGTTGGACGATTTCCTCAAAGATGAAGAAGAGACTCGAGGCAATGGAAATGTGGCTCTACAGAAGGATGCTAAGGATATCATGGACCGAGTATATGTATCTTAGAGAGGATGCAAACAAGGAGGAGTCTTATAGTTAATATTAGGAAGAGGCAGCTGAAGTTTCTGAAACACATAATGAGGAAGAAGAGCCTGGAGAATCTGATACTCACCGCTCGAGTAGAGGGAAAGAGAGACAAGGGAAAACAACGCGTGACATATCTAGCGGGCTTAAGCAAATGGATGACAGAACGTGGTCTGGGGGAGGAAGTAGAGGGAAGGAGCTAGCTCAGAGCTGCAAGGGAGGTGGAAAGCCGTGATCGCCTACCTCCCGAAAGAACATGGCACATTAAAAGAAAGAAGTTATAACTGATCCACGTTATTGCAAGAGAGAGGGAGAGAGAGAGAGAGAGAGAGAGAGAGAGAGAGAGAAAGGGAAAGAGAGAGAGAAAGAGAGAGCTGTTTTTTTCTGTTTTTTATTCATTTGTGGGGCGCACTGTGGTCCTACAGGAGGATGCTTATAATATTATGGATTGAAGACGTGATCACCGAAGAAGTTTTAGAGAAAGGGAAAACAAAAAAGGTTAGTTATACTTAGCATTTGAAATAGACAGTTGAGATTTCTTGTGCATATGTTGAGGAAAGTAGGCGTGGAAAATTTGACACTCACATGGAATATTGAAAGCAAGAGGGACAAAGGAAAGCAGTGAGGACCCTACCTAATGACCTTGTGTAAATTGTTGGCAGAATAGATATTAGAATATACAGGTGTCCATAAAGTTCGTGTGCAATTTAAAACATTTAGAACTTTATTTGTATTTGCGATAGAAATAATTTGTAAAAAGGATTAGAAAGAAGTAAATCTATATTTCTTAAGGTTTTATTGAACTTTTATTTAAATTTCCACATGTCCTCCATCATTAGCAATACAAAGGGTAATACGATTTTGCAGTTCACGGAAAACAATTTACCAACTGATTTACAGTAATGCCTGAAATCACATTAGTTGTTTTAGCTTTCAAATCTTCTAATGAACTAGTTTTGATGCACGTCTTACAGACTTGGACTTGCTGTAAAAGATTTTTCTATGGATGCAACACTTTCGTCGCTGATACATGGCCTTCCAGACCGTGGCTTATCATGGACGGAGCCTGTCTCTTTAAATTTTTTCATCCATTTTGCAATAGTGTTCCTATTAAGGTGGTTCTTTATTGTATTTAATTCTAAACTTTCTTTGTACAGCAATAGTAGATTTCAGTTCAAACAACCAAAGAACACAATTGAAGCCATGGATCCAATTGATTCTGGAAAAAAGAAAATATATTTTTTTAACTTATCTAACAATTGTTGCAAATTTTGTGGTAAAGAATTATTCAATGACTATACTTAAAACGAGGTACATTAAACTTTATAACATTTTTTTACAGATTATTTCTATCGCAAATACAAATAAAGTTATAAATTTTTAAAGTGCACACGAACTTTATGGACACACTGTATAGCAAAAAAAAAAAATTACTAAGAGCTATAACGGACAGGACGTTGTGGAGAGCCATGATGTCCAATGATCATTTTTCTTTTCTTTTTTTTCATTATTAGTTGTTTTTAAATATCATTTTCCATTCTTTATTTTTTCATTCGCCATTTTCTTTTGATTCTTTGTTTAACTTTTTTCTTTTTTGTATTTTCCTTATTGATACTTTTCATTTCCAGATTTTCCGTTTTCAGGCTTTCTTGTTTTTTCTTCTTTTCATTCACTATTTTTCTTTTTTCATTCACCTTTCTCTTTTCTTTAGTCACTCTTTTTACGTTTGTCTTTTCATTCGTCCTTATTGTCTTTTACATTCACACTTCTTTGTTTCCATTTTTCCTTCTTTTTTCTTGATTTCGCTTTTTATTCTTTCTTCTAATTTCCAATTTCATTCCTTGATACATTTTTCTTTTTAATTTTCTTTCTTTTTTTCTGTTTAATTTCTACGTTTTTCCTTTTTCATTTTTAATTCCTTTTTTGTTTTTATTCTTTCTTCCTTTCTCTTTTTCTTTAGTTCTTTTCTGTTTTTCTGTTTTTTCATTTTTCCTTCTTTATCATTTACATTTCTCGTTTTTTTAATTCCTTCTTTTCTTTTTCATTCGTTCTTCTTCATTCTTTCATCATTATTTCTTTGCTTCCTTTATTCTTTTTGCATTTTTAGTTATCTTCTTTTCTTTTTCATTTTTCTTCTGTTTACTTTTTTCTTCTTATTTCGTTTGCATTCATTCTTTTTCCTTTCACGTTCCTTCTTTTTTCTCTTATTCATTATTTTATTATTTTTTATTCGTTCTTTTTATTGTATTTTCCTGTTTTCGTTTACTTGTTGCTCGTTTTATTTTCATTTTTCTTCAATAATTTTTCATTCATTTTCGTTCTTTTTTTCTTTGATTTACTTTTCATTTTTCTTCCACTTAACGTTTTTCCATTTTCCTTCTTTTTATTTTTCCTTTCTGTTTTTCGTCTTTTCATTCATTATTTTTCATTTTCTTTGTATTCCTTCTTTTAACTTTTATATTCCTCCGTCTCTTTACTTATTTATTTTGCCATTCTAATTCGTTCTTCATTTTCATTTATATTCCCTGATTTTTATTCTCATTACTTCTTCCTCTTCTTTCAATTTATTCATTTCTTTTTTTCCCCATTTTTTTTAAAATTCTCTTTTAAATCCTTCTTCTATTTTTTCTTTTTTCTCCTATTTATTTTTCATTTCTATCAAATATAATTTCTCTTTCTTTTTCATTTTCAATCTTCCTAGCTTTCTGTTTGTTGTACTTTCTCCTCCTTTCTTTCTCTTTCTTTCTACATTTTCTTTGTCCTATCACAGGAGATTTCTTTCTCTGTCCGCCTCCAAGCCCCGCGTCACCGATTATTACGAGTTGCCTTCTGATAGTAATGAGTTTATAACTAAATGAACACCTTGACGCAAACATTGCCTATCAGCCAGAGACGAACGCTCAGCCCGGACGATCGCCAATCATTACTGTTTGTTATTCGGAATAAATTGAATTTATGTCGTCCTCTTAAACGAATCTGCTTCTGCCGTTTTTCGGCCTGCCGGTAAAAGGTACCACTCCACCCTGGCCACCAACATCGCTGACTTGATTCTCGCCTATCGATATAATGATAGTCAACGTCACCGGACGACGAGGTTGTTAGCGGCAACGTAACAAAATCACTTGGTTTGGAAACTGGTTTCGTTGACTCCTCTCTTGGCCTGAGAGGTTTGGTCTCTATGATTAGAGTCGACCTTGCACGTAGATAAAAAAAAAACAAAAAAAAAACGGGGATCACATATAAGGGAGAAGGCAATTTTACATACATATAGAGGTGTGTGTTACTGCTGCGTCGGAGCAATCAGTCGTGTGAATGTGTGTGTGTGTGTTTCAGGTAAAAACCGACACGAGAACGCGGGGGAGAAAGTATGTCCCACACATATAAATATGCAGTGAAACATTTACATGTATAATGTTAGATAAATACAGAGAGAGAGAGAGAGAGAGAGAGAGAGAGAGAGAGAGAGAGAGAGAGGAGGGGAGAGAGAGCAAGAGATGAAAAGGCCGAACTCTGAAAAGATTTAAATTGATCTTAGGATAGATAGATAGACAAATAGATAGATACGAACAAGTTCAGATATGAAAAGGCCGAGATAGATAGATAGATAGATAGATAGATAGATAGATAGATAGATAGATAGGAACAGACTGAGATAGATAGATAGATAGATGGATAGATAGATAGATATGAACAGACTGAGATAGATAGATAGATAGATAGATAGATAGATAGATAGATAGATAGGAACAGACTGAGATAGATAGATAGATAGATAGATAGATAGATAGATAGATAGATAGATAGATAGATGGTAACTCAATGACAAAATGGGAAAATTCTCGGGACATACAACAAATACTGAATACTCTTTGACAATATCCTTCACCCACTCTAAATCTAAAAGTCCCCATCAATAAAATTATTATTTTTTTGGAGAAGTTGCGTTTTTTTTTAGATGAAATCCGTAACGTAGGAGTTTTTTCCCCGCTTTTTGCAATTGTGAAAACATGTGTCAAATCTCACGCCATCGTCAGCAGAGTGAATTCGAAAGTGAGTGGATGCGACGCGAGATTGGCTCTGTGCCAGACGAAGGGTCTGCTGCGTAAGGGCCTGACGTCGTGCCCATGATGTGCCAACTCATCT